AAAATATCATGTCGGCCGTTTTTATGTGTGATAACAGAACCTAAATCGAGGTAAGGCTAGGCCTAGCCTAGCAGCGTTGGATAGGCTAATGTTTTTGGCGCCTACGATATTTCTTCCCACGACCTATCGCAAAATCAAAATGAAAAATTCATCCGCATTGATTTTTTGTGTGGAAGACAAAAAAAATCAAATTTCAGTCTTATTTTACATTTTTTTCATTCTTAGGAATGTCTAAATTCAGTTAAACTAGCAATTCCGTATTATATTTATAAATCTTTATAACATTATACAAAAATTAGATTTTTCTTAAAAACTGAAATTTTGCCGGGAATGGGGCTTTAATATTTTCCACCAAAAAAAGTTTCGAATTTAATTGAACATTTATATGACCTTTAAAAGTATAGTATATTTCAACTTCAAAATCCATAAATTGGCCAAAATTCGCCAATTCTAATTTTAACAAATATTAATTAATAAATTATTGAGGATTAAAATAATCTAAGTCATTTTAGGGTTAACTAGGGTTAACTATTCGAAAAATCAATCCAAAATCTGAGTATTTTTCAGTTTTACGCTGACTTAGCTTTATAGTCGAACCAATCAATCTTTAGACAAAATTATAATGAACAAAGAAGTAATTTTAACATAAATATTTTACGGAATCCGTTCCTGAAATATACAAATAATAACATACCAAAAGTCCGAAAAAAAATCTAATCAGGGGAACATTGTCCATTATAAAGATATGTAATGGGTTAAAATCAAACGTTTTATTGCACAACTGCTCTGCTGGAAGCGTATAAATGTATGTCGTTGCCAAGTTGTTTCTAACGAAAAAATGTGAATTACCGTATAGGGTAATACGCCCGCGCGCGATCCAAAAGCGGGGAACAGGTTTGTCGCGTCAAAGGGATCTGTTGCCAAGTGATCTCCTTCTGAACAATACCTCCATGGTGAAACGTATCTTTGGTGAAAGCAGCTAGCTCAGCGAGGATACTTAGGCCTAGGTTGCACTTCCTGTGTAGGAATAAAAGTGAATGAAGAAACGAATTCAGTGTATAGCTTAAAATTCCGTATTTTTGGAACGGGAAGGTAGGTCGGGACTAGCTGGTTATGAATTAGGCCTAAGGCCAGGCATGTCTGGCAAGGCCAAGAATAGAAGAAGTTCATATTACTGTATTATTAATTTCACGCGCGTCAATTGAGCTACGCCTAGCCTTGTGAGAAACGTGCAAAAGCAAGCAACTCCCGTGATTAAATAGGTTGCGAATTTGCATTGCGATGGTCTGGAGCTTTAAATTTAAAATTATTGTTTTTGTAAGAATATGTCTTGATCAGATATTTGAATTGTAATCTTTTGTGTTGGACTAAACTTCAGAAATAAAAAGTCTTAACGATATCTTCGAATCTGTATTGAAGCGGAATAGAATCTAGGCCTAGCCTAGGATAGGCCCAGTTCAGTGTTATTGTTATATTAGGCCTAGGCTCTAGGTAGCCTAGAGCTCGACTGAGTCTCTTGATATAATAATAATAATAATAATAATAATAATAATAATAATAATAATAATAATAATAATAATAATAATAATAATAAAACAAGTGCACTCAGTACAGTAGAAAGCATATCTCCGCCCACGCCAATCTCTTTCTATAATAAAAAGTCCTCAAAAATTTGTATTTTCCAACCACCAACCACAATCTACTTTAAAAAAAATTACACTAAAAAGGAACACGAAAGTTTTATTTAGATGAGTTGTTTTTAGATATCTGATCTACGACGTTTTGCTTTGAATGGTCCATATCGACACCAAAATACTACAATCACTTCTCTTTTTAGTCTAGGACCTGACTAAGATTTGTATGCACTTCATTTAGGAGAGAATTTCTCAACTGTTATAGACTAATATGAACCCTAGGAATAACATGGGATGTGTGCCAAAATCTCTATCCGGGACGAACAGCCCGAAAATGACCACGCCTTTTATTAAATGACCACGCCCCCTTTTTATAAGGTAGGGGGTATTTTCAAATTAAGCTAGACGGTATAAGAAAATAGCAAATGAAAGGGTTTTTGTTCTAAGTGAGCACACGTCACAAGGGAATTAAATTACTAAAATTACGTCTCCGTCACATTTTCCGTTCATATGCAAATTAGCTTGAATATGCAAATTAGGAGTAAAAAAATAGGGTTCCCATGTGCTGAAAACCGCTGGTCGTAGCGAGTTCCTTTCTTTTTAGTTCCTATGCATGTAAAGCCTGGTTTCCTGTCGACATAAAGATCAGAATTTCTTACGTTTCATACGTTTCTTACGATTCTTACGACTCTTACGCAAAGTTGAAATAATGCCGACGTCAACGACGTTTGCGTTGATCGTGTTGGGCCGCAGATAAACAAGCAATTTTCAGCCGCTTACGAAAGTTGAACTTACGACGTTAAACTCCATCCAGAGTCCAAAACGAGCGCTTGCGACTGTTACGTTGAGTTGAATTTTTCTTGCGATACGACGACATAAAAATGACGTAATTTGTAGTCACTTACGATTGGCTGCCTTTCCCACTAATCCGCCCTTGTTACCCAGGGTTTTCAAGCGAATTTAGGCCTCTACCTCTTTATATTATGAGCTGCACTGTAAATGTTAGCAAAACGTCTAACATTAATAACATGGATTATTGCAAAGAAGCTAGGCCTACATTATTAAAATACAAAAAGGCCTATTTGATGTTTGTAAAATTCATTTAGTTTCACAAAATAATGATGCTTCGAACATTACCTGAACATTCGTGTTTCATACCACCACATTTTATTTCTGGGAAACTGAATTAATTGGCCACGGCCTCGAGGTGCTTGTCACCCAATCTATTTTGAGAGAAAGATTATGACAAAAAAAAAATCGGTACGCGGGAAAGTTGGATTGGTGGTAAACTTTAGCCCTAATTGACAAAATAGATATAAAACGGTTCTCACTCCTGCTGTATATATGGCCCCCTTGGTTTGTGATAAAATTTGTTATATTCATTTTTACTACTCTTCTCATTGAAATTTCGCAACGACCAACTAATTTGTTGCAGTATTATTCATTATACCATCATTGTCGTCATTACCATAATCAAACGGCGCTGCTGAGCTAGTGCTACTAATCCACTGGCATGTAGGCCTATTTGTGTGTAACTGATACATTTTACAACCCCGGGTTTTAGGAGCACTGGGACTGCTGAAATTGCTTTAAAAATAAGACCAAATTGAGGTAAAATTTCAAATGCGATAATTATGTTCTTTTTGTTAATCTAGAAAAAATATTTTAGTCTTTTTACATAGGCACAGTAGGTGTGACAATGACGATATCCTTTGTAATACAGTACAGTATATTTGCTGTGAAATAATATTTGTCTATCTTTAAAAA